AAACATTTCTTGAAAATATTATTTCTTAAATTATAGAACATTTTTTTTATAATGTTGTTATAAGGAAATAATAATTGACAATATGATTTAGAAATTGAGAAAATGACGATTGCGCATTATAGAGGTTGCCAAAACAGGTAATCGACCCTCAACCTTGTTATTTTTTTTATTTTCTTTTGCTATATAAAAACAATATAAGAAAATATAGTAGAAAAGGAAGAGCAGAAGAATTAATCAATAAAAGAGTGTTAAAATCGATCTACTTATTACACTGTTCTGATCAATAAAATCTTTTATATCATACAAACTTGCTAAATCTACATCTCTTTTTGTTTTTAATCCCTCCTGTTATAACAGATACCCTTGTCGAAGTATTGCGAAGTTTAGGATTTCACCGTTACTGCTGATAGATTCCTGATCTACAACAATATCATAATTATTAATTGTGTAATGTCAAATAGATATGGTATAATATAAGTGAGAATATTAAATAATGATCTAAATTGTAATTTTAAAAGACAATTTTATTGTTACTTGTTTTTCTAATATATTTTTCTTTTTTATATATGTTAAAAAAATTTCAAAAATTATAAAAATTTCTTAGGTCCCAATTGAATAAGAATAACATATATTAAATCTATTTAATTTTTCAATTCCTTTTACAATATATAAAATTTTATAAATTAATTTTGTTTTTTTTAAAAAAATATTTATTATTTTAATAAGATTTATAATTTAAATAATACTTGAATTAAATAGTCTAAATTATAAAAACCTTTGTAAATAGTTTTTTTTTTAATAATAAAAGATATTTTAATTATATTTTTGTTTTTAATTTAGAAACTTATCATTTATTATTAAATTTGTTATTATATGAAATAAAAAATATTTTTTGTTTATTAATTATTAATTATAATTTTAATATAAAAATAAATTTTATATTAAATTGAAATATGTAAATACAATTGAAAAAAATATTTAAAAAAATTTAAAAATTTTATTTCAAAAAAAAGAAAAAAAGAAAACTTAAGTTTTAAATAATATTGTTAAAAAAAAGCATATAAATTTTATTATATAGAAAAATAAAACTTTTTTAAAATATTTGTTTTTTATATTTATAAAAAAATTCATAAAAATTTTTTTTAATATTTTAAAAAATATATTAAACAAAGTATATATATATTAAATTAAAAAATTTAATAAAGTTTAAAATTATAGAATTAAGTTTTATTTAGTTTATTATTAATTTAATTGATAAATTATATATTTATAGTTAATGTTTTAAACAAATATATTTTAAAAATAATTTAATTATTATAATTAAATTTTTTTTAAAAAAATTAAAAACAATATTTTATTTTATAAATTAATTAAAGAAATAAAAAATAATATTTAATTTATAACTATTATTAAAAATTTTTTTAGCAAAATATAACAAGTTAATGAATTAATAAAAATTTTTTAATTTTTTTACTTTTTTTAAAAAAAATTTTTTGATAAAACAAATAATAAAAAACTTTTTAAATTAAATTTATTATTATTTTTTATCAAGAATAAAGTTTTTTTTCAAAGACAAAATCAATTGCTTTTTTTAAAAAATGAAAACTATTTTGCTAATACTGTTTGATAAAATTATCAATATCTCAAATCTTGTTATATATAATTTAAATTTAAAAATTTAATTATAAAACTTTTGTTATATAAGAATTAAACCTTCAATTATATTTATCAAAACTTATTTTAATATTGAAAATTTTATAAAGAAGAATTCTTTAATTTAATTTCTATTTACATATATATATGGTTAAAATAAAATAATAAATTTATTATTACATTATAATTGTTAATTGTATTATATTAGAAAAATATTTAAATATAACATATAATAAATGAATAAGATAAAAAATACAGTAAGTTTATAAATAAAAAATACAATAAATTTATAAATAAAAGATACTTTATTTTTTTCTTTTATTTATTAATTGTTTCTCAATTTAATATACTGTATTCTCTATTATAATATATTTAATGTATATATACGAATACTTTATATTTATTATCAAAAAAAAATCATCAAAATAATTTAAAATAAAGTTTATTTAAATAATACATTCGAATAAAGAAACTATAAAATTAGAATTTTGCATAAAGACAATAATATATAAGACATGTTATTATAAGAAATAATCATTTAATAATATTACTATAAATTAAAGTAACCGTAATAATTTAATAATTTTCAGAGATATAAAATGCAGATACATGATTTGTTAATATTATTTTAAACAAGAATAAATATGATTAAAATTATTTATTATCAAAAATAAATTTATAAAACACAATAATACATATTAATCTGTGTATAATAAAAATGAAAAAAACTTGTGTTTGAATTAAAAAATGGATCAAAAAATACATGAGAATTTATTAAATAGGAACCAAAGAGACATTGCTTAAAAATGAAGGAACTGGTAAAAAAGATTTAATATTTTTAGTTTATCTAAATAATCAAATCTCTGGGTACTGTACTTTGCATAAAAATTCTTAGAACCTATACATTTTGTATATATACCACGCATAAGCCCTTGTGCTGTAGTTACGCTAGAAATAAGAATTGTAAGGAGATAAAAAGTTCAGCACTACTAGAGATTTTTTATTGAATAAAAAGTTTTTTATAAATAAATATTTGAGACGTCTGTTTCATTTTATTTAAAAAATAGTACTGTACAATATCGACCACCAATTAATTGTGGCGCAAGTGGCAATAAAAAAGATTGATCCATGTTATCTCAGTTTGCTTACAATGGAAATATACCGTATTCTTCGATAAATTTGAAGTTCCGAAAACAGGCTCTATGTGTATATATACATATACATAAAAAGAAATATTTACCAATGATCCCTTCGAAAAGGTGACAAACGACGTGTGGTCGATAAACAAGCCCAAGCAAAATATCATGTTCAAAATCTCGAGCCAACAAATTGCTAATCGAAACTGTATTGTTTGTGGCTCAATGTAAACACTACAAGGGTAAGAGTGTATGGAGCCGCACGTAACACATGTTTACTTGAAGAAAAGCCATAAACGTAAAAATCGAATCAATTATTGATAATACAGGATTTATTGCGAAAGGCTTTAAAAGTAGATTATTTAGCAAAAACAAACAAACAAATAATGTATTGAATTGTTTAATCAGTGAACTCTACGTCGCAATACTCGAGATCTATGATGCACACAGTATTTATAAATATTTAAAAATAACGGAAGTTATGGGCTTCTCACGGGCTTTTTGTTGCTATACGAAAAAAAAATCAGCAAAGTTTAAATCAAAAAAAGTCCAAGCCATAACATTATCGCAAAAGAACTTAAAGAATTTCGGAATAGTAAGCTTACATATTTTTCTTCACATTTTTTTGCGAAGGTTTATCTTGTACCTAGTTTTCCCCAAGAAAATTACTCTCGTTTTGCTGCGAAAACCGTTAAAGTTGATAAGTAGATGAACAATATTTTTTGACCGAAATAAAATGAGTGATGAGCCAGAGATAAAAGTCGATATACCTAAACCCGGGATTCATCACGGCGGAAAAAATGTCGATTCCATCGTTGTCTCGCCAAATAGGCGATACGCGGCCACATGGAGTGAAGCCGATAAATCTATCGTTGGATGGTCATTCATTAAGGGACAATCTGAACTACAATTCGAGGCGACAGCTTCGTTGCGTGAGGATTTTGGGGACGAGTTTAGTTTGGATGAGCTGGTGACAGTGTCGGATTTTGGACATGTCGCTATCCGCGTAAAACGGAATGATAAGAACCCAGTGAATTTCGGTGAGAACCTTTTTTTTTTTCTTTCAATACATTTAATGGATGACTCACCGAGTGCGCATACATTGATAAATTAGAAATCATCAACTTGGCGACAAAACGTAGATTAGAATTGAAAGCACCCGATATTGACGAATTTCCATCGTACAGGTGGTTGTATCAAAAGAACGGAGATTTCGTGTTGGTTCTCCGGGAACCCAAATATCGAGCATTCGTGTTTTCCGCCAAAATCTATCAATCTCCTATGAAAAGGAACTTAGAAAAATACAAGCTCACGCATATGATTGAACTGACATCGTTTACGGATTGCATCATAACCATTGACGGAAAATTATTGATTATAAATAAGAGGATTATCTATACTCTCGCTCAATGGGATTTGAATAGCTTATCATTTGAGCAACAATATATTCTGGACTGGCCGTTAAATACCAGCACAATCGGAGCTCGGTTCAATCATAAAAAAACCTTGCTAGCGGTATTCGGAAGATCTCCAAAAGATTATAGCACCAAAACTTTTGATGATAAAGTTTATGTCTATTCAGTGGAACGTGGAGTCAAAATGAATATGTGTAAGTATATTATTAATTGCAAAAAATGTAACCAGAATCCAGTATTATCCGATTATTATGATAATTAATCTATTCACCGATCCTTCAATAGATACATATAAAAACAATGTGATCATAGATCAGGCACACTTTATTGCATCGGATGTCGGCGAACGATTACTCGTAATTTATCGGAGGGGTGATAGCCAAGAATCTAACTATGATATCATGGATTCTTGGACCCTGAGGGATCCAGTAAATGCAAAACCATTATTCCGAGTTTCGAATGGGTCTAATTCCTATTTTGACTTTTGTACGGTCAAGGATGATCAAATTATTGGGGTACACAACGGAAAACCTTGGATTCAAGATTTGGTAAAGGACAAATGGGTAAGTTATCTGCGAGAAACATTGCACGACTATAATGAAATAAACACTCCATCAAGTGGTTCAATTGTGGAACAAATGATTAAAGATGCTGTTGGTATTTATGATTACAAATTGGTGGACGATGACTCGAGTTGGGTAGAAAGAACTCCATTGGGTAAAGAATCTTTTAGGGGACACCTACTCAGATGGGATTTAGATTGTGGTGAGGATCAAGTTATCTTGGAAGCAAGCAAATTTGATGTGACAACCGAAAAATGGGTATCGGCCGGGAAACCAAGAAACATTCTTCCAGAAAGTCATGTTGAACGAGAAAGTCGTATAAATTTCGTGGTGCAATGTCAACTCTTGTATAATGATGATTTTGCAATCCTCACTCCCATGGGATTATTTGTCTGGACTGTGATGCCTTCGGGAATTCGACTAATCTATTTCTGGGGTGATACCGAGTCAGAATATCAAAAAACTCATGTTGGAGTAGCGAAAATTCTTCATAAGATCCAAATGTTAAAATTAAGCTTCACGGGAAACACGCTTCCGCCTCCTGATTTCGACCACATCCTTTTGTGTTATGAAAAATTTTCCATGGGCAAAGATCGCGACATAACCGAACCATTCCGCGAATTATTGTCCGATTACATTAAAACCCACGAGTTATTGGCTCTTCACGGAGAATTTCTTCTTAAGCGAATGATCTACAACCATAAAGACAATTGGATCGAATTGATATGTGATGAGTGTACTCAGAAGTATATTGATGATTCTATGCAATTTGGATTTCTGAGCATCATAGTCTCTTCTTTTCCATCATTGTGTCAACGGCATCCATCTCTCGTAACCAAATTCATGGCAAAAGTTGCGCTACAAATCCCACATTCAGAGAAAAGTGAGATCATAGATAACCTGTCAACTGCCTCGCACTTGCATCATTATGGAAGAGAAAATCAATTGTATGAAGCATCCATCGTAACCAGAACTTTCAATAATATCAAAAGTGCTTCTGAAAAATTTTCAAAAAAACATCCTTATTTCCATACATTCTTCACCTTTCTCTTTGTCCCGATGTGGCCGATCTTGATTTACCAATTCTATCAGAAGGCCTATAACCCAGATTTATATTACCAACCGACCATCAAACTCCTTATTCCCCTACCGCAATATGCGACCTACCCTAAAAATACCAGAGGAGCTTTGGATTTCTTCTATCCTATAAAAAATCCATTTGTTAATCAATCCACGTCAAACGAAGTGTATCATTGGTGGAACGGCGAAGCGCTGTTGAACTACAAGTGGAATACCTTTGGAAAATATTATTATTATTCGATATGGTTTGTTTACACTTTATTTCTCTTATGCTTTGCTGCCGTGGCCACGATTCACGAGGACCAGATTGATTGGAGTGTAGCAAGCGGCCTATTGATTGCGACAATTGTACTCGGGTGCTTTCATTTGTTGATCGAGATTAGGCAATTCACCATCACTCCGAAATCTTATGTCACGAATCTTTGGAACTTTTTTGGTATTCTTTCTATTCTTTCTATAATTCAACATTGATTGATGGCCATGAATACATATTATAGACATTTCTAATAATTTTTGTGATCTTAATATATTTTTCCTGTAGATGTTTGTGCCTACCTATTTCCAGTAGTTTCTTCTATAATCTGGCTTCATAACAGAGAAATTCCCACTTGGGTAGTAACAATATCGATACTTATGTTGGAAGTAAAGTTTTTGCTCTTTTTCCGAGCAATCAGATTCTTCGGTGTCTACTTCGCTATTATGATTGGTGTAGCCGTTCGTGTCTTCTCATTTTTACTGATCCTAGGCTTGATCGTGATAGCATTTGCACATTCCTTACATCTATTGTTGAGACCAGCTGAACCGATTTCTATGGATGTCGCGAGTTTTAACGACGATCCTAATAATCCGTGGAATTTGGTTTCAACGATGAACTCCATTTTGGATGACGGAACTGTAAGCGAAGATGCGGTATTGATCTCTATGCCGAGTGAGAACACAAACTTGTTTGTTGGCTGGGATACCTCTTTGTTGGCAGTATATTACATGTTGAACGGTAACAGATTTTATTATCTATCTTATCGAGTCTCGGAGATGGATGCGAAATTTGCTTTAACAATATTTTATTTGTCATTTACATTTTAAATAACGTCGAAACAAACCAGGTGACACGGGCCCATATAGCTCATGGAATGTAAAAGACAATCCTGTTCTTATCCTCATAACGGTTGGCTTCTCATTCTTTACCAAGCTCTATTTGATGAGTCTGTTCATTGGATTGTTGGGTAGGGCCATAGACGAGAGGAATAATCGAGAGGCCTACTTGCAACAAAAAGCCGAGGTTTGTTTCTTGATTTTGCATATTGAACATGACATCCTCCTTAAATAATTTTAGTTTAATTAAATAAAAAATATGCTTCTTGCTCAATAGATTATGTACGAGATCGAATTGGTTTATTTATTTCCTTCCCAAAGAAGATGGAAGCATTGGTTCCCCGAGATAATGTATGCGCACAATATTTCGGTAACTCTTATTCGGTAATCTTTTTAATTAATTTACTTTTCTTTTATTGCAGTTACTACGAAGCCCATGTGGACCAAGTCCGTAAATTCGTGCGTCGCATACAATCCGGTGAGATGGTTGTTCACGAACCGCCTCGTCTCTCTTCCGATCTTCTGAGAATACTTGAGCTAAATGAGGCTGAATCGAAGAGTCAAGAGAAAGAGAGAATAAGAGAGGCCGAGAGAGAAAAGTTGGATAGGATGATGGAAACCATTGAGAAGTTAAAAGCACTGGTACCTCTTCCAGATGAGGGAAGTGAAAAAGGAAAAAAGACCTAAATTTGAGTAATGTGTGTAGCATTTTATCGTCGACGATGCGTAGCGTGTTATGTATATATATTAATCTATAAATTTGTAAATATATTTATAACTGTGTACAGTATATGTTTTCTTTTGTTTGCCGATTCAATATTATTCTTAAATTAACTTGGTGAGTCAGCCGAAAATACGGTTTTGAAATGTCTGAATTTAATTTTGGTTGAGAATTTATGGGATAATATGAGAAAACATGAAAGGGAAAAAGGAAATAACTTTGGACAAATGATTTTCGCGATTCATAATTATTATTCGCATTTAGTATTCAAGAAAATACCACAACATTTTTTGTTCACGGTTGAACCCATAAGAAGTTCTTTGAATACATTCTTTTTAAAACGGAAGAATCACGCACACATTGTTTGTTTTATTATACCACGCAATATACTTCATACTGAAACACGAGAAATAACGCGATAAATGATGATAATAACTGCATGAAAAAAATTTTTTTTGCCTAATTGTTTTATGCGTATGCTGTATACGCATATATTTGAAATTCCAAAAACGGTTAAAAAAGGTTATAGTATTTAATAAGAACAGATTTTAATTTGCACAATTTTTAATTAATTTAATCAAACCAAAACATACATTTGTTTTCTTACATATCTTACAATTCTTTTATAGATCAATAAAAAAAATATATATACTCTTATTTCATCTTTTCTATCTATCTATTTTTTTTTTGATGAATTTTTCGCAAGTCTCTACTTACATCATACCGTACGTATAGTATACGTAACAATAAGTAGAAATTTGAATTTAAAAAATTTAAATAATGTCTAATATGCTTTATTTTTCAAATAAACATTTTGATAAATTAAGGAAAATATTGTTGGTGTCATTGGCAAGTCTATCACTGTTCTGGCGCATTCTCGTGTAATATCGGATTTCTGTGTTCGAATAAGCTTCAAGATTTCAACTTGGTGGGAATTTTAATTGACAGTTTTTTACTCATTATACTTGGTTTTCTTTAAATTTAATGATTCATAATAAAGCTTCTTAGCGGTCCATTAATTTGTTCGCAAGTTCAGCTATTATTAATATTAATCAAAGATTTTATTATTATTATAGCAATCACAAAAGTAATGCTTTTATAATCGTTGGAATGATTCTCTTAAATTAATTCACATCAGCACCTATACATTAGATTGTAAATACGTATACAGATGTACAGCCGAGGATCCATTGTTTTCTAGTATATCACTAGTTACATGTCATGTTGAAATCAGTTGTTGATATAAATATTTCAGAGGATACACAGTAAGTACCTTGGTCTATATTATGCAGTAAATTTATATTTATACCATTTTGTTTTCACACTTATAATGATCCAAATAATAATTTTCAAATAGACAAAGAAATATACTGTACGAATTTATTTTAATCAGAAAGTTAAGAACATAAGTTTATTTATTCTGCTTGTTTTGTTTATCTATCACAAATTTATCAATTATAAACTCAGCCAAACGGCTTAATCATTCAACTTGAAAAAAAAAATTGATTGCATTATTGCTGATTTACCCTAAAGTCAATAATAATAATATTTAATAGCCAATTCATAAATATCCAGCATATCGTTTGGGTTTGTGTTAAGAAAAGGAAAAAAAGAAATGGAGGTTTTTCGAAATAAATATAATATAATATTAATTATAAGGATTGGTAATATTATTCTTCCCAAAGATTTATTTTATTACCTAACAAATTATTTTAAAATTTTTAAATCATATATTTTGGAAGCTGAAAATAGATGATCTTATTTTAGTAATATATATGTTTTTAATTTTTTAGTTAATTACTTACCATGAATCAATTCTGTTGAATTTTTTGGTTTTGGAAGATCACCAAAGTTTAGAAGCCGACTGGTATATATGGCAGAAGAGTCTGAATTGTAATCAAAAGAATTTGACGGCATATTCGCGTTTTCAATTTGAATAGCAAACGTTGAATTTGGATATTCTTTATAATAACGCCATGCGTATAAAATCTCGCCCAATTCACGTGCATTAAAACGGTTCTGTGTTTCAGCATCCCAACATTTTTTCACCAAGCTTTTTAATAAATCAGGCACGTTAGAGGGAATTTCAGGTCGGAGCCCGTTGCAAATCTTAATTGCCAAATCCTCATTATGTGGAATGTTGTTAAAAGCAGGAACGCCAGACAATGTATCGGATGTGACAATTCCAAATGCGTAAATGTCTGCTGCTTTTGTATACTCATTTTCACATAGTACTTCTGGTGCTAAATATGGAAGTACACCATACACTTTTCGTTTTTGATTTTTGGTTTCACTCGTAGATTCAGCAGCTGGTTTGCACAAACCTAAATCTGTTATAAAAGGCAATTCACGTTCTGATAAAAGAATGTTTCCAGCGTGAAAATCTCAATGAGTTAATTCAGCCTCATGTATTTGATATAATCCTTCTACAATTCCAAATAAAATATTGATTTTTTTACTCCATGGAAATTCGTAAATTTTAGATAAGTTATTTCTAATATTTCCAAAAAAACCAAATTGCATAACAATCATAAAATTATTATTTTTTTCCTGTCATAGCATTGTGTAACAGATTTATTGTTACTGCAATTGTAAAGATTCCTAATCTGTGTTCAACTAATAGTTAAAAAATAATACACTTTGTTAAGCAGAAAAGTACAATATATAAATTTACCTCATTTAAGAATTCGTTAGTAATATTTTGTAAATTTTTGAGGCATTTTAGTGCAACCTTTATCACTCCTCTTCTTCGCCACCGGTTTGCTTTAGAATCCCAAGAAACGATATTTCCTTCCGTCCATTCTGCTGAATAAACTTTGCCGAAGCCACCTTCAGCAATATATTGTACATCCTTGAATTTTGAATACGGAATCCACTCGAAAACTTTATATTTATTAGTTGCCTTCAACTGCGTCTCTTTTATAAATGCGTCGAAATTATCGTCTCCACTTTTCCAGTTAATGAATTAATTTTGAAAATGAATAGAATTACAAGGTTGGCACCATTTAAAAGATTTTGTTTCATTTTTACATTCAGGACAAGTTTTTCCTATAATAGCAAACTTTGTAAACTATAACGAATAACAAAAATATCCTGGATTAACTTACCGTCTATAGTAAAGGTTGACAATTAATACAATTAAAAATAATATAATCACATTCAACAGATAATAAAAATATCCTGGATTCAACTTAACCCCCTATAGTAAAAGTTGACGATTAATAAAATTAAAAATAATACAATTACATTCAACAGATAATAAAAATATCCTGGATTCAACTTACCCCCTATAGTAAAAGTTCACGATTAATACAATTGAAAATAATATAATTATATTCAACAGATAAAAACATTCGGGATTCAAACTTACTTCCTATAAAAGTTGACAATTAATACAATTAAAAATAATATAATTATACTCAATAGACAATAAAAATATCCTTGATTCAACTTACCGACTATAAAGTTAACGATTAATCAATTAACAATAATATAATTATATTCAACAGATAATAAAAACATTCTGAATTCAAACTTACACGCTATAAAGTTAACGATCAATACAATTAAAATAATATAATTATATTAAACTGATAATAAAAACATTCTGGATCAAACTTACTCGCTATAAAAGTTAGCGATTAATACAATTAAAAATAATATAATTATATTCAACAGATGATAAAATCATTCTGGATTCAAACTTACCGACTATAAAATTTGGTGATTAATACAATTAAAAATGATATAATTATATTCAACAGATAATTAAGACATTCTGGATTCAACTTACGTACTAAAAAGTTAACGATTAATCAATTAAAAATGATATAATTATATTCATCAGATAATAAAGACATTCTGGATTCAGCTTACTGGCTATAAAAGTTAACAATTAATGCGATTAAATTCAACATTATTATATTAACAGATAATATAAACACTCTGAATTCAACTTACTCGCTAAAAAGTTCGATAATGTATTAATATACAGTAATTTTATATGATTTTACGAAACAACAAAATATCTTGCGTTTAACTTACGTTCTACAGTAACGAAGAATAATAATATAATTATTTTATGTTTTATTAAAAAATATAATGAAATATCTGAGTTTATCTTTACCATCTATTGTTTAAAGAAACAAGGATATAATTAAAACTCATTTCATATTACTTTATAAAACAAATATCGTGGGTTCAACTTACAAACTATAAAAGTAATCGGTTAATATAACCAAACTTTTTTTTCATAACAAATTTGATCAACTCACAATCTACATTATAGAAGATGACATAATTGAATCTCACGTGGTTTACTCAACAAATAAAATATCCCCGATTAAACATACCACCTACAATAGTAAAGAAAAAAATGTAATCAAATCTCATTTCAATTTATTTTACGAAAGTTCAAAAGCATCTTTGTTCGTCTTACCAGCTACAAACATAAAGAAGAAAAATGTAATCATTAGACTTATTTAATATAATTTTAAAACCAAAATTTAACATACCATATTTAATAGCAAATAAGAATTAATAAAACTCATTTTGTATTATTTGCAATAAAACTTCCTGGTTTCAACTTACAAACTAGAAATTTAATGGTTAATATAATCAAACCATGCTACGTATAATTTTACAACACAAATAAAGAACTATTCTGGATTTAGCTTACAGTCTACAACACAGCAAAGAATAAGAAGAATGGAATGAAAACTACTAGTGATTTGCCAGTAAATACAAAAATAGTCTATATTCAACTTACCATCTAAAAGAGAATATCTTATTTTATCTTATTTTATGATAGAAATGACAAGACCATTCTGGGTTCAACTCACTCCCTACAATATCAAATAAATATTATTCATATGTTTTTAGCAAATAAATGAACATTCGGATTTAATTACCATCTATAATAATAAACAATAAATTAAATTAATTTTCATATATTTTACACAAAATA